TTCTTATTGGTGACTCAATGAGCATCGCCAAAGCTAAAACAATCGAGACTAAACCTCTCTAGAAGTACAGTTCACAAATACCTGCCCGTCAACTGCGGCGTCAATGAGCGTCGCAGGACAGCAACTATCGATCGGGTGTCCCGTTGAAGGACAACAAAGAACCGAAGACGATGGAATGCAATAGTCCTGCTGTACAGTTTGAACTGTATGAACCCGAAACGCCGGCTACGTGTTTTTGGTAAGTTACAGTAACTTCTTGGCACCATGTAATTTTTCTCAACTAGAAATTGCCCTGTTGCTTTATGGCTTCACTGCTTTATTGCTGCAGGCATAAATGCTGCATCATTTGGCTCTATGATACCCCTATTCATTTGCTTTATGGAAGAAGTATACGCATTATTGCTGTATACAGTTCAAGCTATATGATCTTCTAGAATTTCACTCCTGTTGCTGCAGCTGTAGTTGGAATCAATGAACGAGTGCGAAAAAAAAACACCAAGCCAATCAATAGATGTATATTTTAACTGGTTTTGTTTCTCAGCACAGATGCGTTGACGCCTTTGTGCATGTATGTGGCTTATAATATGACGTTGCACTATTTTTGCCAACCACACAAATATAGGCACCATATACGCTGCATGCGGTTTCAGCGAAATTAACATGGCGTTCATGTTTCCGTAGTGATTCTAATATTCCTAATTGTTTTATGGCCTTTTGCAAGTTGTTCTCGAGGTAACTTAGAATGCCACAATGCCTCTTGACTGTCATCTTTCTACGTGACTGATAATTTTTTAACTGGTGTCTAAGAAATAAACTTTTGTTGTTGTTGCAGAGTGATTCGAGGCTTGCGTAGCAGCTTTCATTACCTGTAGTCTTAACTCATTCAAAGTGTATATTTATTACAGGGCTAAAAATTGGTTATTTTTTTTTGGCTTTCAAAGCGCCTTTAGACTAAACAGTTTCAAATAAGTTCGTACTAAGTTCAGATTTGATTTACTGTTCCAGTAATGTCAACGGAACTTATGTCGTGCTTGCTTTACTGTAATGTTTCTGCTTAAAAATAACTGTTTTTTTTTTCTTGTTTGCAAGAACTTTGAACTGCAGTTTTTGCAAGAAGATTTTAACTCCTGAATTGAATCTTCTTACTGTTTTATTGTTAAACTGATTACCGTGCGTTTGTATCTTTGTATTTCAACTGCAAATGTTTTTTCCAAAAACCCTTGTTTTTATAGGAGTACCTTGAAAAAACAGTTCTTGATGTATGAATGTCTGAACTGCCGTTAACGGTAACTCGAAGACGTTTTGCGGGTAATTCAGGTCGACTGCTGGAGGAAGCTGATAGTCAGGAAAGTAATAAGAAACTTTTGAATTACTCCACGAACGCATTCTCGACACTCTCCAATTTTTCGCAGTCACTTTGGACATCTGCTCAGGTACATTTACCAATGAATAGAGAATATGGACAGTTGTTGAAACAAAAACGCGTCTGAGTTGGACTTGTGCATTTATTTTCCCTTCTTTGCATAAAGGACTAGGATTTTCCATTTTTGTTTTGGATTAAGTGGCCTTCCACCCACGGTTATCTTAATTAGAGTGTTAGAAGCAATCCAATGAAATACTTGTCGCATTAGGAGTTCCTTCCAAAGAGTCTACTTTTTTTAGGGGTTTTAGTTAGCTAGGCTTTATAAATGAGATGGATGCATAATATCCGGATAGGATTTTTCATATAGGGTAGTGTCACTGCGTTTTAATAAATTGGGGCACTGTTTTTGGCAAACCGTGAAGAGAAGGGAGAAGTGGAAGTTTGATACAGCTCACTGTGTGAATCTGTAAATGCTACTGCGCTTGCTGTTAATGCGTTCTCTGAAGAACGACTGTGTTAAAAAATGCGAGGAAGGTTTTAGAAAATGGAAATAAGGTTTTGAAGATGAATATGTACTCGACAGCAGTATTAGGTGAAGTTAGTAAAGTTTTATGGTGATTGCAGGATGCAGACTTGCTTTACACTATTATTACTTCTATAAAGTTTTGCATTCTTTGAAAAAATTAAAGATCTACTTCTAAATAAGGAGTTATGCTCTGTTTATAGGTAATTTTTGAACGTCCTTGAGCTTCAAGACTGTCTATCATCCTACAGTCACTTTGTTAATTTTTTGTAAATTCTCCTTTTTGTCTTTTCTGTTCTTTCGCTGTCACGGAAACTTTATGTTGTAGCACACTTTCTATCCAGTTTCCTCCGCACCAGATCTTAGAAATTTTGCCGTCGAAAGCAACTCCTACGACAATACCGCTTCTGCACCGTTGTATTTGTGTAACCAAGAAATGCCTTACCGGGATAGGACTGCAGAATTTCGCACTGCTGCAAAATCGTACCAGGTGAGTATATTTCAGCTTTTTATCGATCTCTATTCATTCTACCCACTCACTTTGGATGGAGAATTAAGATTTGTGATTTGTAGATGAAGGTACAAGGAAATGGATTTGTGGCTAGAGACCAGCATAATGGTCTGTTACAGCAGTCGGTGCAGTTCAACCAGCTAGCAAAGTACTGCCATTTTGTTTATGCTGTAGTGTGACTCGTTTTCATTTCTCTGATCATTTAGTACGATATGCACGTAGGATGTTTTTATATTGGCATTTTTGGCAAGGTATTATTACTTTTTAAACGAGGCTGGATTGTAGGCGCGTTGGAAGGGATTTAAGTCAGACTTGTGCGAAAATGGAAAAATTAACGGAACTGGCAAAGAAGCGTTCGCTTTTTGATGATCGTTTGGTGGAAATGGAGGAGCTTTCTCAAATCATTAAGCAGGTAACGTACAGAAGTTTGTTGATTTATTTTTATGCCAGCTTTTTTATTCACTGTTTTATGTGTTTATTTGAAGCGCCTTCTATTATCTTCAGGATATTACTGGCCTCAACAAACAGATAGCTTTTTTACAAGAGCATTCGAAAGGACGTGTTTCGAATTCTAAAGCAGACCAAGGTCGTGGCCATTCTCAGCTTGTTGTAGTGGGTCTTCAGTCAAGACTTGCGTCTGTAAGCAAGGATTTTCAAAATGTTCTGGAATTACGTACTGAAGTAAGTTTTTTTTAAAATTAATTTATTCTCTTTTATTTTTCAATCTATTCGTCTTTTGTGGAAATTATCCTTTGTAAGTTTCTGACGAGGATAAATAGGTGTATTTACGAAACCAAAGATGTTTTTTTTTCTCTAGAACCTCAAACAACAAAAGTCGCGCCGTGAAAAGTTTGGTCATTCACAGCCAGTACCGTCTTCGCTACCTCCATCATTAAGCGCTGGAAACAGTTGAGGATTTTCACTGGCTTTTAAGATTTTTTTATTTCAAGATGTTCTTTTTTTTTAAGTTAACTGGGAATAAGTTGTAAATTTTTTGCTGTTTTTCTGTTTTTTTTTTTATTTTTTACATACAGTGTTATCTAACTAATATTTTTCTGTTTTCTAATTTATAGTGGGATCGATTTTGCTACAAGAAGAAATATCCGCTTCGTCATCTGTTGCTGTTGATATTGACAATATTGAAAGAGGCAATGTGCAGCAGCAGGCAAGTTGTGACAGTTTTCCTGTTGTTTATTTTAAGAAATCCGCTTCCTGTTGTTGAGCTTTGATGTTGCAGATGACACTTGAGCGTGATTCGTATGTTCAAGCTAGATCGAGCACGATGGAAAATATTGAAAGCAGCATTTCAGAACTGGGGCAAATTTTCCGCCAGGTGAGGAACTTTAATTTGTTTTTAAAGTATTGGCAGCTGGTGGAACTTTTTGGTTTGTCATTTGTTTTCGTCATTACAAATCCTCGTATAGTTTAGATTTTCTCAAGGTTTGACATAGGAGCGTAGAGGGGACTACAGCTATTTTTTTTTACTTTTTCTGAATTAAACCTTTATCGAGTCTTTTTTGCTATTCTTTTTTGTTTTTGCAGAGAGGTTTTTTTCTGTGTCCATTTTGGTCGTATATCTATAAAGTGGTTGACAATTTTTTAAGAAGATTTCTGTTCAAGATGTTTAATTGATTTCTCTTCAGCTAGCCTTTCTGGTTTCTGAACAGGGAGAGATGATAACACGGATTGACTCAAACGTTGAAGAAACATCGTTAAATGTTGAGGCAGCTCATACAGAGCTTGTAAAGTATTTTCACTCTATATCACAAAATCGCTGGCTAATGATTAAAGTTTTTGGCGTCCTTATCCTTTTCTTCATTATCTTTGTTTTGTTTCTGACTTAGTATCGGGATTTTGTTTGTAAGAAGAGGTGGAAGTAAGGCACGTATTTTCTTTTGTAGATGGTACTTGTCCGAACTGTGTAAAACCAACTGTTTTTTTCCTTTTTTGTCTCGCATCATTCTAGATCAGATTGTATACCTTTCACAAAAAAGTACATTATCTTGAGAATTTTCTTCATCTGGCTCAGTGTTGTTTTAATTACTACTTTTTCTTCCTTAATTATTTATTGCTATAAAAGTGGCTATTTTTTAAATATTATAGTTGTTATTATTTTTATTGATTTGGCGTTGCCTGTATGTCATATTGTATCATTTTATTAATTCAGTCAAGGGGGGTTATTCATGGAGTAAAAGTTCATACGATTTAGTTTCTGTGGGCTTCGTTTTGCAGGATTATTTTCTCATCGATGGGAGGTTTATGATGGTTTTTTGGTGAGATTTGTTTGCTCGACTGTGTTGAAATTGATTTTGAGATTGTCGCTGTGTTTTGCTGCAGGTGGTTGTCGAATAGTTCTTTGATCTGATTTTTGATTGGGTGCAGCTTTCATGCTTTTCGTAGAGAAGTGGATGTTGCTAAAAGTTTAGTGGAGGTTCAGGCTGTATTTGACTCTTGCAGTTATCTTTT